CAAGCCCGACAATCAAAATTTACAAAAACTGACACGCAGGCCAAAATACACTAAGTTACAAAGGATAAACAAACATCATCATCAGCAGGAATCTCTGGCAGGACCATCTTCCCGTCGACCACATGGTACAGAACGCCCATTCCTTCGGTAACCAGCTGGACGTCGAGATTTAAGGCCTTCATCTGCTCCACAACAATAGTGAATCCAAGCTCAGCAGCTCCAAGGGTATCCTGCTCAGGATATGAATCTTGTCAATCATCTCTAGCCGGGTCTTAAGAGATTTCTCCTTCTCAGTCTCATCTGATCCCACCTCCGAGAACTCTTCAGCTCCGTTATCCTAGTCTTCAAGATGGTATTCTCCTCCTTAGTCTTCTTCATCTCATCATTCATCTCGTTCATATCTTTGAGCAGTGCGACCTTGGCCTCGTAGTTGCCTTGGAGAGTCGATATCTGGTTGAACAGGTCAGCTGTCTCCAACTCAAGTTCAGCCTCCCTGGCCTTCGCCTTTTTGAACTCTTTAAGCGGAACTGTCTCCGCATCACCCAGAGCCAGAGTCTTCTTCAGCACCCTCATCATCACAACAACATCACGACAGAGGAGCATCATCCTCACCTTTGGGTCGGCAGCCAAGATGGTAGACGCCTTTAGGTCGGGGACGACAACAGATCCTTCCCCGTAAAAAAACTTGTCTTGCAGATAGCAGGGGAACAGGGTGAATTTCCCCCTAACAAAACCACCTGAGCCTTCAGTTGAAGAGAAACCGAGATCGCCTCGTCTCGTCTCCTCTTCTTCTGAGGATTCGGGGTAGGAGGATTGAAGGTGTTTCCCGGAGAAGGCGAAAGATCAACAAACTTTTCCAGAGTCGCTTGCTGTCTGATCATGTTCACCCTTAAAGTTAAAACCTTTTTGACATTCTTGCCCACAACGAACTTGACCAGACGCTCACGCAAGTTCGACATATTTCCTGTAAAGAAGAAAAAGAGTCAGCACGACATTATAACATCAGGAAGCACAAGTTAAACACATCATCTATACCTAGAAGCTCAAAAGCCTCAACCTCAGTTTTGCAGTCATTGAGGGCTTTGGTATTTATGTAACAGGCCACCGAGCAGGCTCCCCGTCCTCAGCATAGATCAGGTTACCATCCTTGTCCACCACAGCGGAAGGGATGAAACTTTCCACGAATGTTGTCAAGATCGAAGAGATTTCTTATCCTCGGAGCACAATTGGTCGTGTTTCATGAGGAATTGGTCGATTTTATATCAAAAATGGGTGTACACCCACTCCAAGGAAAATTTTGACACAGGACGTACCACGTCCCGAACATCATCCTTTATAGTCTCCATGGTAACCAGAGAACTCTTAGCCGCATCTAAAAGGGGCTTTACGATCAGAAATCTGAACTTGAAATTTCAGACAGACTTCGAATAAGGCCAAAAAGCCTGCTCTGCTATTTAAAAGACACCCAACTCTGCTTTGACTCAGCGGTGTTCCTCTGCAGCTGAAAGATACAGAAGAAGAGTTCCACGGTAGCCCCTATCCTAAGATAACAACATACCAGCTCGAAAACACAAATGAATGCGGGTGAAGTAGGGCAGGACACAATTCAAGATGACAAAATATTGCCCCTTGGAAATCCGTGAAGGGCATACGATACCCTGACTCCCTAAAAGAAAACTCGTACATTGGGAATCTCCTCCTCGGATACACCTAGCATATCTGATCATTCTCTGCCAGGCTGATCGCCCTCCAACTCATGGGCGCATCTTCAGCCCTATCTTCGAGGAGATCAAAATTACTGGTCTCCTCCTCAATAAATGTCGACTTCGTCACGAGAGCCTCCTGAGTAATCCAACTAAGGTCCCCATGTGCGACCCGCACGTTGGCATATTCGGCGGGAGGCGCGCCCTCGTTAGTAGTTGCCTCAACCCTGAGGGCAGTTCCCTCGTTTCGATCATCCATTTCACCTGAAAAGCAGAGGAAACCAAAGTGAATTCGAAAAAGATCAAATCCATCCTTCCATTACAAATCAAGTGAAAGGGAGAGAATTAAGTGAGAGGATGTCTCCTTGACTCAAGCCCTTATCAACGGTAAAGGGTCTCGACGAGAACACTCCCCGAAAACAAGGACACGTCCCCGCGACTTGTAAAGACTCTAAAGAGGGATAAGCCCCGTGACTACTATGATGTGTCGGACACCTAAGAACGAAACCCTTAGCGTCGCGGGTACCTTTTGCCCGACAACGAACATGAAACATCTTCACACAACAACCTATGAAGATCTACAGACATGCAACATCCTATATTTATGTTCTTCAAGGCCTTCGTGAATTTCTCAAAAAAATCATGCGTTCATCTAAAAATGCATGAACTTCAATCGGAAAATTTATGCATCACCGGTAAACTCAAGCTAAATTTCCAGAAATTCATACATTTTGACAGCAAGGTTGAAGAACTTACTTTGATTAAGAGGATGGAGATGAAGATCTTGGGAAAGGCAAGAGCAATTGACAACGGCGAAAAAGGCTCTGGCGACGAACGTTTGTTGCAGAGCAAAAGATAAGGAGGAGATAAATTTTCGTGAAGTGAAAATGAATCCTCTTCTCCCCTTATATTGACTCTTTTGCTCGCACGGGGAAGCGCAAAGGGCAAAAATCCATCATTTCCTAGCCTCCTAGACCTCCTAGGCCTTAACAAAATTTATTATGCCCTCACACGTGACAAAAGAAGCTGTCAGTTGGCATTCTCAAAACTGACCCTTCACATGCTTATGAGAAGACAAGTCCCTTCAGTCCCCCGCTGGCACCTTCGCCTCGATAATGTCACCAAATGGCATCTGAGTAAGAGGCTCGTCGACATTCTCTGCGCCTTAAGAAAAAATCTGGCAGACGTAGAACGTGCCTTTTATATCCGCCCACGCCCACACACCTTCAACGAGACTACACGCAACCAATAGTCGGCCATGCTAATCGCATGCCACACACTTGCGCGTCCACGAAGCTTTTCGCCCAAATGATGACGACCTCAAAGACTTCCTTGTAATATGGTTCCTGCCCCCTCGTCGACCATCTAGGTTAACTCAAGTCATTACTCCTCACATCGAAGTAACGACTTAGGGGGCTCCTGTTCTGGACTGGACTGACACATGACCCACAGTTGGGCAATGCCCAATCCAGTTTAGCTTAAGGCCAGACCCAATGAGGAGATTGGACACAATATAGAAGTTGGACACAATATAACCATTTGACACAATACGACCGTTGGGCACAACATAGTCGTTGGGGCATATAGTCGTTAGAGACATCCCCCTCACGCGCTTGACAGTTCACGCAACCAACTGCCTCTCTGAAATTCATGGAGACAGTTGGACCAGGTCAAAGATCACGCGCTAGATCTTTCACCTGGCAGTCTCCCATTGGTCGGCCAGATATTTCGGCCACATGGGAGACATTGGGCTCACGCTGGAGAGAATCTCATAAATACCCTCTCTCTTAAGAGGGTCAGGTATTCTAATCATTCTCACTTATAGCTAAACATTGGTACTTGCTTTCTCTCTAACCCAAACACTTATTTTGGCATCGGAATATCACCTCCTCTCCTACAACCACTGTTGCTGCCCTACATTGAAGGTCAAGACGATTCATTCTGATCACTTCAGATCACTTATTTTGTAAAGGACCGACTCTAATGAAAATCGAAGATATTGTGTTAAATGTTAGATGGAAAATAGTGAATGTAAAAAAAAAAATTAAAAGAAATAGAAAGAGACATAGAGTAAAGAGATACATGCAAAATGCTAACACTCAAACATTTAAATTAGTATTTGAAAGAGGTAAAACTTTCTAAGTGCACTTAAAAAAAAATATAAATGTGACCCAAAATCATCCTAAATGGAGGATATGGTTAGAACCGTTTCTATTTTTTTAGGCATGGAGTGTGGTCAACTTCAAGATACAATGTGAGAAAGTCGTTTTACCGAAGTGCATGTTCTTCTGCGTGCCATTGAATGAGGATCTCTTTTGTTGAATTGAGCGTACAGATTAGATGATTCCGAAACAAGCATCAAGATACCTCGCATTCATATAACTTCACTTTTTCAAGTCAGTTATTTGTGCTCTAAATATTATGAATATGCTAACTAATGCTAACTCTAACATGTGCAAGTGTACTGAAAATATAAATATTTTATCGGAAATTGTGCTTTCAATATCATTTAAAGTTTAAATTGTTTTCTTTTCTTGTTTTTTTTAAATTATATTTGTTGATTTCATAACTTATGCTTTTAAGCATTAATTAGCATAATCCAAATGAATATTTTTTAAGCATTAATTAGCATAATCCAAATGAATATTTTTTTAAGCATTAATTAGCATAATCCAAATGAATATTTTTTACGAGTAGTTATGGAAGCATGGATTCAATTGTCATTTTTATTTGTCTAATATGTTAAGAGGGTTATTCTTCACACAAAAATTAGGTATATATGATAATTATTTTAGTCCAAACTTTAAATTATTTAATAAATAATTAAATATGATAATCATTTAAAATGAATAACTAAATATGATAGTTATTAAAATGTATAAAAAAATATCCGAAGTTTAAATTATTTAATAAATAATTAAACATGACAATTATTAAATGAATAGTTAAATATGATAGTTATTAAAATGCATAAAAAATTGTCCAAAATTTAAATTATTTAAGAGTTTAATGTTTTGGGTAATTGTCTTATTGCACTTTACTCATTGGGGAAGGAAGATACAGAATTGAGTTTGTATTTGCCAAAGAGTGATGATACTTATCATCATCATCTGATGCAGAACAGACATAATTTTTGTTCCATTGATTGTGGAAACATAAAGTCAAGGGTGAGTACAGTTGGATATGGAAAAAAAGTTTCTACCCTATAAAAGTTACCAACCAAATCAATGAGATGAAAATATACATGATTTACAATATGCTTCTTCCCATGAATGTTACTATATTTACTCCTTGTTATCAACTTTCTCGAATCAAGTTAGTTGGCTCACTCAAAACATACTTGGGTAGCTCGTACTTCGCACCTACAAATATTGCACAAAGAATCAGAACAAGAAACCATTGATGGTCGAGGTAAGGATTGCAAGAAAATAACATGTTTTTCTAGTCTAGCCCCATCATAACAAACATAAGGTGCAATAGTACAATTTATGATCCTAGATCTCCATGAACTAAAGTCAAGCATCTTAAAGTTCCAATAATTGTGCGTCAGTAGTTTCACTTTCATGCCAATTTAGTTTGATGTTTATAAAAGAAAACAGTTTTGATAGTGAGAGCACATGTTTATGCGGTAGGGAAGGAAGATAAGGTGAGAAAAGTAATGGTGGGGCTGCAGGGAAATGGATTGTACACAATCACGTTATTGTAGATCAGACAGACCATGTTCTAACTGTGTTTTGAACTCATTCCACAAAAGTTGGAATTCAAGCCATTTGATTAAAATTGGCCAGTTGAGAGCTTGAGATCATGTGATTTTGTAAATGTGGTTTTTTCTTTTCTGGTCAAAATAAATGTGGTTAACCCGGTTGTTGAGAATCTAAATCTCGGGCTACAGAGATTTTTGAAAAAGTGCAATGTATTCCACAGACATAATCCACAATAAAGGAGGGGGGTCACATGATACAACCAAGCCAGCATACCTGGAACACAGATAATTAAGGGGAAAAGTATAGTAGTGCTGCTGGAAGCCCACATGATTCATGGGCATGGCATAAAAGTTGCTCTAACCTTTTCAATTTAACTTCCAATTTCTTAAACATTAAATTCAAAGGAAATGGAATCAACAAATTAAGCTTTTCTTTAGACAGACTCAGATTATAGAAACCAAACCAAATCCTATTATATCTTTTTTATTTATGATTTAATTATAAAAATAGTAAATAAATAGTTGATTGCAAGAAGAACTAAATACTTACCTCTTTCATCATAGCATACTGTCAAATCAGAACTCTGGACAATGACACCAGCACTATCCACAATTGCCTGTGCTAAAGAAAGATCAGCTTCTGCAGCAGCTCGAAGAGCGTCCCAAATCTCTAGCATGTGGAAAACCAGATGCAGATTTCAATTTATTTAAAGCAATTAAGATAGAAATGAAACAAAGCGGAATGATAGGCTGCACAAAATAATTTGTGGGAACAAAATACAATGGCTGCAACTTTATTATTTATGGGAAGATTTCATTATTTGATAAAATATTTTCGACAATTAAAATATAATGGCTGATTACTTTTCTTGATTTTCATTTTTTCTTTTTTCACAACAAAAGTGGGAGTTCTGGCTTCACAAGGTACAGTGATCCAAAGGAAATAATCATTCATTCTTTCGTTCTTGCCGATGTGCCAATGGATCCCTTTCTGTTATCTCCAAGAGACTAATTATTATTATTATCAGGTTCTAGATACTAATTGAAACCTAAGACTTTTGCTACATTAAGAATCGGAGTACGGAACTATAGATAATCATTATGTATCCAAGGCATCATATTCAATAAATGAAAGAATGGATAAAGCCTTTTGATTATGATTTGCAAAGACAGAAAGTGAACTAATTCATAGAAAGCAAGCATTTCCTTTTAAAGACCTTATATTCTGAGCAAATTTAATCAGGAATAGCGCTTCAAAGGTTTCAAATAAGGTAACTTATCAAGTTGAGACAATACCTTTCCGTCCACCATAATGAGGAGCTGTGTCCCAAAACTCGTCGCGCAATTGTATTAGCTGAGTCCTTGTTATGGGCTGAGGATGCTTCCAAGGCTTAGGCTTTCGGATCTTTTTTACAGTCCCTGTTAAAATCATTTCACATTTATGTTAAGAGAATCCGAAATTAAACTTTATTCAAGAGCTGAAGCACTGGTATGAGAAACAAGCCACAAAAACTAGTTTCACCTTAGAAAGCAAATTGAATGAAAAATCTAACGATAAACAACTAAAACAACAAGAATAACAAGAATCATCCTTATCAAAATCAATGTCATAAAAAAATTTTCAACACTATGTGAAAGCTGTTTATCGTCGTCATTCTTCTGCTTGCTAAATGTTCACAACAAACTACTACAACAACTCAACAAAAATATCGAAGGTCCAAATCAACCCATACAAAAAGTAGGATCCAATCAAGAAAATTTTCAATAATTTTCAATCAGAAAGATATAAAGTTAATTAATAATCATTAATCCCTCCAAATGTCACTACCTAGTTCATTTGGGAATCAAGAAGAACCAATTTCCATCCTCAATTTCATCACTAAGAAAACTAAAATCTTTCGAATCATTGTGGAATTAATCTCAGCACATTGTAGAGTTAATCAAACAACTCAAAAGCATATAATATCACAAAATTATATTGGAAAAAATAATTAAACATTAAAAAAAATACTGCAAATGGGTACAGAAAGGGTGAAAATTTCAATATTATCCAATATTAAAGAAAAAAAGATTGTTGTTGAAGTAAATATACAAGAAATAGAAGAAAAAGAAGAAAAATATGTGTTGAACCTGCGCCCTGCGCAATTGAAAAGTCGAAGTAAACATAGGGTTTAGAGAAATTATAAAAGAAAATTGAGAAAGAAGAGAGTTTGAAGGCAAAGTGAAAGTGAAGATTTATGAATTAACAATGCAAAATACAGAAGAAAGAGAGAGGAAGAAATTACCATCAGGCTTGGAGTGAGAGGATCCAGCACAACCCATTGAAAAGAGAGAGAGAGAGAGGTGAAAATAGGTTTGGTAGAGTGAGTGAGAAGTGAGAAATGAGAAATGAGAAATGACGTAGCCTTTTCATATATGCTGTAGTAGTGGTTACACACTCTACAGCCCAACCGAGTTTTTTTCTTTTTCAATTTATCAACTAATACTCACCCTCTAAAAAATTAAAATTTTATTGGAATTTTATACTTTATAGTAATCATTTCAAATATTTGTTATTTTACATTTTTTTTAATTTTAAAATTTGTGTTTAATTTTTATAAAAACTGTAAACCCATTTAATTTTTTTTTATAATAAACGTGTTTGAATAATCATTTTTGAAAACCACTTGCATTATAGAGTTTGAGGTTAAGTTTTCAAAATCAAATTCAACTATATTCATGTATCTTAATTTTTTTTATTAGTATGATATATTATTAATTTATTATTAGTTTGTTTCTATATTATTGTTTAGTCTCATTTTTATTATTTCATTTCCTTTAAATATAATCGATCATTTTATTTTACAATATAAATTTTTTAATATACTATGTTATCAAACTTATTATTTTATAGTGTTTTTAAATTATATATATATATATATATATATATATATATATATATATATATATATATATATATATATATATATATATATATATATATATATATATATATATATATATATATATATATATATATATATATATATATATATATATATATATATATATAGTAATTTAAATATTTCAAAATTGATTCAAAATTTAATAAAATTTAATCGAATCAAATATGATTTTTCTAACTATAGTTATTCAAAATAAAATTGAACTTTAAATGATTTTATCTTTAAATTATATGAATTTTTTTATCTTAAATATGATTTAACCATGCATATCATTATTCAAGAGAGGTAAAGTAAATATTTTTATAAGTGTTTTTTTACCTTAATGTCTCCTCCACCTTCAAATGATGCACCATCCCTTCTACTACTTCCGTATCATATTGATGATATACTTGATTTTACACATATTAAAAAAAAATGAAAAAATATGAATTGATATTTTTATTAAAGTACTTTTATTATATATTAGAAATAATAATAGTAATATTAATTAAAAGATAAAATTTAAAAAGATGTATTGAAAATTTAAATAAATTATTTATTTTAAAACAATCTTTTATTTTAAATGAATTATTCATTGTAGGACGGAAGAAGTATATTATATGATTTTATTTATTTTTTTTATAAATTTTTTTTCAAAATTTAAATTATTTTAATAATTTCTTTAATCAAATTTTTATTTGTACTCACAAAAGAAAATTGAAATAACTTTTAAAAGAAAAAAAAATAGTTTAGTCTATGATGATATTTTTAAATTTTTTAGATGTTATAATTTTTTTTTAAGAACTTTTAATAAATCAAATAGTCTAGCTCAACATGATTTTATACAACGCTGTTATTAAAACTGGATTACATAATCAAGCAATTCAATTTTAATCAAATTAATTATAAGTAACTTCTTCAAGTTTGAATATCAAAGGAACTTCCCATTGTGGAATTGGAGTGTGATGTGTATCTCTGTCGTTGTGTCTACGTGCCTAATGGATTGCCACCACACCACGTGAGGGGTCAGGTTGGCCTCTCTTTATTGGTCAAACGCAAGCTGCCCTCCATTTAATTTATGCGGCGCCTTTAATCATTTCACAATAATGTGCCTTCCACTACTCTTTTATTCTCACTGTTTTTATATTTTTTATTTATAAATATATAGGATTGATTTCTTTAATAAGGTACTAAAAGATATATTGCTAGTATTCGGTTAACATAATTCAGTTGATAATTTTATGAAAGTCTGTTAAAAAAAAAATTTATGCACGACCTATTTTTTATACATGTAACCAACTTTCTTATATTAGTCTTCATTTTTAAAAAATTCGACATCAAGTTCTTTTTTTATAAAGAGTTTTATCTGTTTAATACTCATGAATGTTAGCAACATTGAAAGTGTTGGATATATTTTTGACATTCGGGAGAGCTACCACATAACTATTATTATTGATATTTTGGGTTACTTTGAACCGGCCATACCTATGTGGTTCCAGCTTGCTGTAAATATCAACTAGGAACATCTCCTTACGTAGAAACACCATTAAATCGTCTCACACATTGAAAAGTTTAACTCTTACGCATTAATTAACAACTGCTTTATTCTTCTGCCTAATAGCCTCTAAATTAGCCTTGACAACTTCTTTAATAGTTATCATCTCTTCAGTCATGTTCTCAGTTGTCGTACAAACTCTAGGTGCCTTAGGCAACTTAACAAAATCAACCACATGGTTATGGACAAAAGTATAAAACAGAGAAAATGGTGATTTCCCTATAGCTTAGTGCACAACGTTGTTGTAAGCAAATTTAACCTAAGGTAAAACTAAATCTCACTGCTTTGACTTGTCACTACAAACACTCCTGTCCAGCATGGTACCAAGCACTCTCCAGAGAGTAGTCCAGAAATGATTGAGAAATTTGTTGTCCCTTTTTGAAGTAATTGACTTACGAAGTCCATGAAGACACATAATCTCTCTAAAAAACAACTTGACTATGTTGGACGTATCAACAGTATTTTTACAAGCAACAAAACATGTCATCTTGGAGAATCAATCTATTACAACAAACACATAACTTACACCTCATTGTGTAGGGGGCAATTCCAAGACAAAATCTATGGCTAAATCTGACCAAATATCATCAAGAATAGGAAAAGGCATATAAAGACCAGTACTTTGAGACTGACCTTTAGAAACCTAACAAGTATAACACCTTTTGACTATAACACCATCATCCCTCCTCAAGTGTGGCCAATAATATCTCTCCCCCAGGCTAACAATGGTTTTATCTCTACCCATATAACTGCTAAGATCACCACCATGCAAATCTCAAATTAACTTCTCTCTTAAAGACAAACAAGAAACGCATAGTTGATCGTCTTTAAAAAATAGCCATATCGAATATGAAAATCTGCACAGGGATGTTTTCAACTGCACTTGACCCATAAATCATTGAATTCAACATCACCTTCGTAGAACTCTTTCAGACACTCAAAGCCTACTAATTCATGCACTAAGGTCATATGCAAGAAAGCCTTCCCACTAAACACATGTGTTACCTTGTTAAGAGCATATGACTTGTGCTGAATAATAAAAGCAAACTTTTGTAGAAAACTCACCCATCGGGCATGCATCTTGTTTATCACCTTCTGCTTGTGGAAGAACTTCAAAGCTTGATGGTTAGTGACCATAATGAAATCCTTCTGAACCAAATAATGTTCACACTAGCGCAAATCTTTAAAGAATGTGTGGCATTCCTAATCATATGTACTCCATTTCTGGTGAGCATCACTTAATTTCTCGTAGAAAAAGACCATTGGTTTCTTCTCTTGAAATAATATGTAAGACCCTGATTTTAATTTAATTCTTTTATTTGAATTTAAATTCTTTTATATTATTTATTAAATGTTTTTTTGTGATTTATTGGATTATTTGAGGATGGATAGAAATTTAATTAAAATTATTATTAATTTTAATTGATTTGTTTATTATTAGAAATTAAATAATTAATTTGAATATTAGAGGTATTAGAGATATTTTTAAAGTTGAGAGAAAAATAGATTTTTTATTAAAATTTGGGAGTAAGGAGTGAATCGAGCAAAAGCTAAGGGTGTGGTGAGATTTAATAAAATAATAAAAAATAGTAAGAATGAGGATGTGGGGAGAATTGAGGGGGAGATAAGATAATTGGGATAATTAGGGTGAATAAATATAGATAGTGAGGTAAAATTTATATAGTACATGCAAAACTTGGGAAATGAAGCAAAGAGGCAGAATTTAAGAAGGGACCTTAAAGAGTGAGGAAGAATCCCAAAAAGGCAAAAGCTTCATCAATCTGCAAATTTGAGGTAAAGGGGAGAATTATTTATATATGGGTGGTTAAACATAGGGATAATGAGTGGTCCTTACCCTCCCGTTTTCTCCCTTTTTATTGTAATATGTAATTGATGTTTTGTTCGCAATTAAAGGGGGTTTGGGCAAAACCCCTTTGAGACGATTGATTGATAATATTTTTACTCTTAAATATGATATGTATTCTCATATATATGTCTTGATGTCTTATTTAACCTGGTTGATAACCTTGTCGATAACCTTGTTGATGTCTTGTTGATATTATTACCCTATTTATGTATGGCGGTTGCCTATGAGTTGTAGATCTATTCAATAGGGCGAGAGTTATAATATTTAATTTTTAATGGTTATGTTTATCGATATGTTTTTAGAGCGGTGAGAACACAAATAGGCGAAATAGGTGAGTTTCAAATTTTTTTCAATAGGGAGAAAATGCAACAAAAAAAAAATCGCAGGTAGACATAAAAGGGGGTTTATCGTTTTACTTCAAGTATAACTTGAGTTTCGTAAGTCTGTTTGAGATACCGTAAAAAATTAAACACTTTAAATATAATCATATAAAAGGAAAACAGAATCATAAATATGTTCAAATAATGGAATAATCAATCTCAAGATACCTAGTGCACCACCAATATCAAGTATTTGGACACTAATATTAACAACTAGTGGTACTCTTGTTTTAATGGTCAAACATTAAAATAAAACATGTCAAATAATAAACCCCTATTTAGATTGATTTAATATTCACATGTGAGACCTTATAATCATCAAATGTTTACCATCACAGTTGTGTATGAAATTCGACCAAGCATCAATTGTCCTTTAGGTCAATTGATACTCGTATAAATAAACACACACACAGAATAGAAAAATTGTTTAACGTTTCTTATAAGTAATCTCCATAAAATAGGTCACTTTGGTGACTTTTCATTTTAATTGACTCATTTAAAATGTTAACTATTGTGTAAAATACAAAAAGTAGCCAAAGCTTGAACAAAATTGAGCCAAAAAAAAAACCTTAAAAATCGACAGGGTGATAGTCTGG